TCTCTCTCTCTCTCTCTCTCTCTCTCTCTCTCTCTCTCTCTCCACTTCCCACAGACAAAATAGTACGCTTTTAGGCTAACAACAGTAATAATGGAACGTTTGTTCACGGCACAGAATTCTTCAATTTTTCTGTTATCACAGTGTAGAATTATGGGGTGAACGCAAAATTTGTTTTCCTAGATCTAGGCTATAACGGTGAACGCACACCCGGGGTGAGAATAGAGGTGGCCCTTTTCCAATCATGTCTGTTATTCAGTATTTTCTTGAATGCGCTTTGGTGGAGGCTTTCATGCCAAAGTTCTGAAACTGCCGGTATTGTGCATTCTGTTACTGTGTGTTTTTTCCCGCAATGTTTGTTTCTGCTAATTGGGTGTCCCAGCTTTTGCATGACTGGCTTGTCCATACCAGCACATGTGGTGTAGTGGTTAGGTACTTAGCTCTCGCATGCTGGTGACCTGCGTTCAGTTCCCTTGGAGGGGTAATATTTATTGAGACCCACAGTATTTTTGCAGAAACGTTGTGTTCCTTGGCGGGCAGGGTCGAGGTCCTCCTTTAAAACGTTGTAACTAACGGCAGTGGGGACGTACAGACACCTACTTTGTGTTTCTATATTATTTATTCAGGTGTATCAATTGAGACCCCCCCCCCCCCTTCATCTCCTTTTGACGCCAATGCCCTTTTCTTCCACTGCCTTTCTCCCTCCCTGTTGACGTCAAAGTAGATGTATATTTTTGTCAAGCTTCAATTTACAGTATCCCGATACATGATCAGTATCCCGTGATCATAATTATTATATATTCATTCATATTTTGTCGGTTGTTCACTGTAAGATAATATTATAATCTCATGGCTTTGTACTTCTGTCGTTCTTTCTCCTCTCCCCATGAGCGTTCCTGCAGATGAATGTCTGTTTTATTATTGCTATACGTGTATTTGAATCAATGTTATTAAAATGCCCAGTTCCACCCAAGAAAATAACATGTATAAGAAATTGAAATTGTTAGAAGCCTATCAAGTAAACGTATCCAATGGAGAAAAAGTAACCGCGATAATTTCTAAGCTATCTTGTGTGTGTGTATGTATGTATGTGTGTGTGTGTGTGTGTGTGTGTGTGTGTGTGTGTGTGTGTGTGTGTGTGTGTAGTGTGTGTGTGTGTGTGTGTGTGTGTATTCGTTCGTATAGGCAGTAGAAATAGCCGGTTGTTTACAGACTTTTGGAAAACTTGTCCCCCACAGCTTTGTTTTTGGTATTGTGTAACTCTGGTATCAGCAAGTGCCTGTTCTCTTCTCGGCCTAGGTGGAAGCGCCACTCGACCGCGGAACACCGATCTTTTCACACTTTCCAATTCCTCTTATGTTATATATTTATCGAAATGTCTGTCAAATGGACGAATTAATTATTAATACTGTACCGGGATGTGGAAGGAGGA